TGAACATAATGCTGAAACTAATAGAATTTTTAATAGAGCTGTAGAGATTACAAGGGAAAGATGTGCTAATAAATATGTTAGAAACCAAAAATCTTGTTCGGTCCCACCTGCTGCAAAGTTTTTTTGGTATTCAACCATGGGTTACCTAAATTGGAAGAAGGCTAATACTACAATACATAAATATTATATTGATAATAAAATTAAATAAGTTTCATTTAAAATCTTGCACCAAATGTACCCTGTTAAATATATACTTAAAAGATTCAAAATAAATATGGAAGAGTCGTGTACATTCTGCCAATCAAGTAGAGAAACAATATTTCATTTGTTTTATCACTGTTTATACACCAACAGATTTTGGTCTGAACTGGAACAATTTAGTGTCACAAAATTGAAAGTCAACACCTGTATAAGAATTTTTGATGTAATGTCATAATGTGATTTTCATAGTTTGTCCAAAAATGTAATGTATGTTATTCAACTGTTTGTCATCTTTGGAAAATTCCATATCCACAAATGCAAATAGTCTAATTCACATCTGTGCTTTAAAATATTTCTTGTGGGCTGAAAACTGTTTTACAAAACAATTCGACATGTGAAGAACACAAAGGCTATAAGAACATTTCAACTTCTGAAGGATCTGAGCATGTTATAATGAGTTTCATTTTATTCTTGCCCTCTTTTAACACATCGCAATATGCTTTAAGACCCTCTGGCCTGTTTGTAATCTTCCTTGTGCAGGTTGCACAAGTGTTTTCTGTACCTATTGTTATGTATTATTCTAATGAAGTTTATTAAAAAATAAAAAATAAGCAGGAAACATAGCTTCTAATCGGCACACACGCTCCAAAGTTTGGTCATACTTTACAAGAAAGCATGACAGCAGGGTATACTTTCAATGAATGCAAAGTGGATTTTTCATCAAGGGAAGGAAAAAGGATTTGGGCACAAAACACGCGATGACTTAAAGTTAATGACGTGTTTTGACCGCTATGGCCAATTGAATTTTAACGCAGCAACAGCAGCGACGTTCACACGTCCTCTCCTGTTAAGTAGTAAAGGGAACATGGGAAGTTGTATTTTGTAACTGCACTTTGTTTTCATTTTAGCCTTCTTGTCTTAATGAAGCTTTAAAAAATCTTAATCTTTTTGGTAAACATTTTAGTAAGTATAATATTATAAAGGAGACGGAAGAGGATTTGAAGGAGAAGATGAAACTGGAGCACTAGCTTTCCAAAAGCAGTTCATAAAAGTAAGATGGGAAATTGCTGTTCTTCTATTGCTGTGTCCTGATACTGCACTTGTGTTTGTTTTTGCCATTTAGAAGAAAATATTTTAACCTCCTTATCTTAATGAAGCTTTAAAAAAGTCTTTATCTTTCTTTTAAACCTTTTGGAATATGAATAATGTGGAGGAAAAAGAGGAAGATTTAAAGAAGAAGATCAATCTGGATTAATAAAGGTTAAAGACTTCCTTAGTAAAAAGACTTTAGCTAATTTCTTCCAAACACTATTTTTTTTTTCAAAACTTTATTGAACAAGGTGATAAGTATACAAAAAAATTGCATACAAAACTGAACAAAGAAGACGAAACATATGCCAGGGGGTGCACTACAGAAATGTTACACACATCCAAATAAATTATAGGTGGTGCAAATAGTTATATTTTCTTTCCTTGAAAGAATGGGGATAGAGGGATAGACAGACCTTGTCATCCCCTATGTAGCCGGTGTATCAGAGAAACTCTGGAGGGTTTTCTCCAAACACAACATACCAGTGTACTTCAGACCCAGCAACACACTCAGACAGAAACTGGTTCACCCGAAAGACAAAACTCCTAAACACAAACTGAACAATGTGGTGTATGCTGTACAGTGCAGCGAGGAATGCTCCGACCTCTACATCGGAGAAACCAAACAGCCACTTCACAAGCACATGGCACAACATAGGAGAGCCACCTCCACGGGACAGGACTCAGCAGTTCATTTGCATCTAAAGGACAAAGGTCACTCTTTCGAGGATGCCAACGTTCACATTTTGGACAGAGAGGACAGATGGTTTGAAAGAGGAGTAAAGGAAGCCATTTATGTCCACTGTGAGCAACCATCTTTGAACAGAGGCAGTGGTTTACGACACCAACTGTCTGCCATCTATAATCCAGTTTTGAGATCCCTTCCTAGATGCCTCAACGCCCACGCATATCCTGGGCCATCTGACCTCAGGAATTCACATGATAGGGTGGGGCCAGGCTTCACAATGCGCTCACCCGAAACTCTGGCTGAATAGGACCCACACCCACCCTCACACCTTGGCTCATAGAAGATCATCAGGGGGTCTTTTGTTCCCTCTTCGGGGGGAAACTCCCACTGGGTTTAAATCTGGGACTCTCCACCATTTGACCTTAGAACTGAAGAAGCCTCTCGGATGAGAGGTGAAACGTCTTCAAGCAACTCAAAGAAGTCCAGACGCTTTTCTTTCAAGCTCATTAGACACACACACACACACACACACACACACACACTTTCTTGTCTAGCAGTCGTTGTGAGGACAGTCATTGACTTCCATTCATTTTGGTGAATGGATTGCTGATTCATGCTTCTCCGTCTGCGTCAGTGCGAAGACACGCAACGCCATTATCCGTCCTTGCGTGCCTGCCGGAGAGCTCCGCAAGGACGGACGGAGTCGAGCTCTGTTTTCTAAATATCCATCAGTCGAGACGGACAACGCAAGCTTGTGATTGGTCAGGACGCCGCTGTTGTTTACAGCGCTGCCATTGCGCCCTCAAAAACATAAAGAGAGTCGAGAATAACTAGCGGCAGACATGGAGAAGCTTGAAGAATACCTCGCGAAAAAACTAAAAACATGAACGTTTAATTCCCGTGACTGGAGGAGTGAAAAGATGCGCAGCAAGCGTTTTATTTGTGGACAGAAACAACCTATTTTTAGACAATCTGATAACTTGTCAAAACAGCAGTTTAGTAGTCCGTGAGAGGGAATGTGCTTGTGAACATAAAAACATGAGATCCTTTTGCTGTTGGTGGAAGTCTCACATATTCAATTGGTAAAAAGTATCATTATGTAGCTGAGAGAGAGAGGAAGGCCGCACGAGTAACGAGATGTGCGCAAAAAGGAGCCTCTTTGCGGGGAAAGGAGTGGCGCGAACGGAGTAACAACAAACAATTAGACAGATATTGACGGTAAACTTCATATTTTGGAGCGATCTGGACAGATATATTGTCTCTGCAGTTTAGTAGGCTTTTATTAGGCTTATATAAAGTGTAACTCCGAAATGACCACACTGGCTCGGCTTCCTGACGACAGGCGCTTCTCTTGTTTATTAAACGCCATGAAAACTACACACAGAAAAACAGTAGCTTCAAAACTTCATTCTTTGAAGATAAATATATGCTTTAGCAAGAAAAAGAAATACCTCGTGGCCGCGTGCCACTTCGGAGGTCCAAATTCAGTACAATCAGTCTTCCTGTTTCTAATTAACACACAAAATAAGTACAATACTACACATAGCAAATATTTACAATATTACACACAAACACAACAAGTTACCTGAGTAATTGGCAGCGCAGGTGCTGCGGATGGCTCAGACAAAGCGGTTCTCGTGCTTCCTCATACACATACAAGTCACATCTCACATCTCACATCACTTCTCGCGGTAACTCGGTGAGGAAGATACCACTTGTTCCAAAATAAAAGACACAGATTTACGATACAAACAAATATTATATATTCTAACTTCTGGAACCAAATTTGAGTAATTTTATGACACTTACATAAAGGATGATGAGAAGGATAAGTTCAGATAGTACGGCTGTTTTTTTGAACTGGAAGCAGAGGAAGTGGACGGAGACTCACAGCCGGAGTCTGAGGCAAATAGCGAGGATGTTGATGACGATGTGGCAGATCCATCCTTCCTCATAGAAGAGTTGGGTCATGATGAGGTAGAGGATGAAAGCAGAGATCCAGCTCCTCGGAGATCCAACAAGAGGAGTGGGCGGTGCCGCGCAGCTGTCAGATCTCGGCGTGAGACAGAGCCACTCCCCACTCCAAAATACATGTACATTATTGCCAAATTAATAAAATAAGTATAAATTAAGACAGTCCAGGTTGTCCTGAAAAAAAAAGATACCCCATAAGGCAATATTTATTGTTTTTATTAGAAAACACAAAATAAAAACCAAAATGAGTCAAAAACGGTGATTTTCACACTGGACCCCAGAGGGCTAATAATTTCTTTTTAAAATTTGTTATTTGCTATATTTAGTCATATTTTTTATAAATGTACAGTCTAGATTACCATTCTAAATTATAAAAAAAAACATTCATCATAAATGTTTGTTGGTTTCACAGTAAAATAAACAACTTTTTTCCAATTTGGATTTTATGTTTTTGAGCTATTTAAGGTCTAATATGCAACCCCTTTATGTCCAAATATAAAAAAAATAGTATACATTCATAAAGTCCAGGTTGTGCTGAAATGATTGATACCACATAAGGCAGTGCTTATGGTTTTTATTTTGGAAATACAATGAAAACCTCTAAATTAGTCAAAAACGGCAAATTGCACCCTGGACCCCAGATGGTTAATTAACATTATTATTATTATGGGTAAATACCACATCCACAAAAGCAAATGGAAAAAAACAACTGCCAAACATGAACTGTTTCACAAATGAATTCCGTATGTTCTTATCCACTTTGACTTGTATAAAAAATTCCAATGCAACTGCAAAAGTCATTTGTCATGCTGCAGAAAAACGTTTAATCTTGTAACAATGTTTTTACTTTGTGATATAAGTGCCTCTTTTTTAAGTTTCTTATTTGTTTTTCTTTTATTGTTACTAAGGATGCCTTGTATGTTTCCATTATGTGTTGTTGTCTCACGAGAAATTGTAATAAGCATTTAATGATAATAAAAAATAAATAAAAAATAGACGCTACCTGCCTGCAGGGGGCGCATGTCCTCAGAGTGTCCATCTCATTTGACTTCCGGGTCACGGACCCTCCTCACGTCGAAGCAGCATGGCAGCCAGAAACCAGCGACGCCGAAAGTCCGGCCCGGTTCGGGCTGAAGGAGAGGATTTACAGGAGGAGTGGGGTTCAGATGAAGAGTTGAACCAGGAGGAAGTGTTCCGACTCGGAGGAACTCAGGTTAGTCCGTTCGGTCGAGCCGTGAATGCTGATCTAGTCAGACCTGAACCAGGTCCTCCCATGGTACCGTTCCAGGGTTACGATGTAGCTCATCCACATCTCTTTAAAAAAATGTTTTGTTGTAAAGCGCCTTGGGGGGTTCTATAACGGCTATATAAATACAGAATATTTACCGTACAAAGTGTTAAACCAGGTCAGTGTCTCTGTTTTGGTCCAGGTCAGTGTCTCTGTTTTGGTCCAGGTCAGTGTCTCTGCTTTGGTCCAGGTCAGTGTCTCTGTTGGTCCAGGTGTGACCAGGTGTTGGTCCAGGTAAACCTGAAGAGTCTTTTTAAACGTTTTTGTATTTTAGACAGAAAATGTGTTGATCAGCTGATTTTAACCCTTACATAAACCGCAGCTTCCGATTACTGGACAAGCTGCTGTACAAACGCTGTCCCAGGAATAAAGCTACGTGTTGACCTCATGACCTCTGAGTGCCTTTGAATGTCATTTGTCTACAGGCGGACATCGTCCTCATCGCTGGCATCAACGACTCCCGCGAACTGGTGGATGGAGGGATGAAGGGTGCCATCGACGACCTGGAGGAGGGCGAGCTGGAGAGCTTCATCACCAAACTGGGCATCCGCGCCTACGCCGGGGAGCAAAGTATCCCAGATGAGCCGTCAGAAAACATGGCTGCAGGAAAGGTTGAAGGTCAGAATGTGTCCACAGAGGAGCAAGCATCCAGTGGTCTAAGACAAGAGGTGAAACAGAAGAAGGACAGAGACGTTCCTGCTGTGACTGGGAAAAAGTCCAGACAGAACATCAGTGTGTACGAGTTCCAGCCTCGGCAGGTTCTGCTCATTAAGCCAGGCGGGAAGTGGTTCCACATGGAATACGCCGCGGAGGAAACATCGGCGCCACAGGACCCGGTTCTGGTGTCCCGGTACAAGTCCCTCGCCCAGCAGCTGTTTGAGGCCGAGGTGGCGCTTTACAGGTCCAAGAAGAACCTGCAGAAAGGAGCCAACTCGGCCTGGATGAAGTCCGTGGTCTCTGCCGGTGTGCTGGCGGACAGGATGGCTGCCATGACGGTTCTGATCCAGGACGCTCCAGTACACATGCTGGAGCATGTGGAGACCCTTGTGTCCATGATGAAGAGAAAGGGTGGCCGGCGAATGGGCCTGATGGCTCTGGACACCCTGAGAGAGTTGCTGCTCACCAACCTGCTGCCGGAAAACAGGAAGCTCCGCCCATTTATCCAGCATCCCTTTGACAACCTGGAGGAGAAGGCCAGTGGCAACCGGGACGCCCGGGACCGCCGCCTCATCCTCTGGTACTTCGAGCACCTGCTGAAGCTCCACGTGGCTGAGTTCGTGTCGGCGTTGGACGGTATGACTCACGACACGGTGGTGGCCACCAAGACGAAGGCGCTGGGCGTAGCCTACGAGCTGCTCAGCAGGCAACCCGAACAGGAGAGGGTGCTGCTCGCTCAGGTGGTCAACAAGCTGGGAGATCCCGACTACAAGATGGCCACCAAAGCGTCGCACATGCTGGAGACACTGTTGCACCGGCACCCCAACATGAAGACGGTGGTGTGCTGCGAAGTAGAGCGCCTCATGTTCAGACCCAACATCGGCACCAAGGCCCAGTACTACGCCATCTGCTTCCTGAGCCAAGTGGTTCTGAGCCACGACGAGGCCGCGCTCGCCGCCAAGCTCATCGCCATCTACTTCTCCTTCTTCCGCTCCTGCGTCAAGAAAAAGGACGTGGAGTCGAAGATGCTGAGCGCGCTGTTGTCAGGTGTGAACCGGGCCTATCCATACGCCGGCGCTGGGGATGAGAAGGTCAAGGAGCAGCTGGACACCTTGTTCCGAGTGGTCCACCTGGCCAAGTTCAACACGGCGGTGCAGGCGCTCATGTTGCTGTTCCAGGTTCTGGACTCTCAGCAAAGCGTATCGGACCGGTTCTACGTGGCCTTGTACAGGTAGCTCACCTGTTTGGGTTCTGAGTTGGGTGGGACAGCGTAGAAAAGGAACGTCGATAAAATAAAACTCAAAATGATCGACACCAACAGTTCTGGATAAGTATAGAAGCCTGTTACAGACTCGGTTCTGATAGGTTCTCCGTTACCAGACTTTTTCTGATTATCTGTTACAGACTCGGTTCTGATTATCTGTTACAGACTCGGTTCTGATAGGATCTCCGTTACCAGACTTGGTTCTGATTATCTGTTACAGACTCGGTTCTGATTATCTGTTACAGACTCGGTTCTGATTATCTGTTACAGACTCGGTTCTGATAGGATCTCCGTTACCAGACTTGGTTCTGATTATCTGTTACAGACTCGGTTCTGATTATCTGTTACAGACTTGGTTCTGATTATCTGTTACAGACTCGGTTCTGATTATCTGTTACAGACTTGGTTCTGATAGGATCTCCGTTACCAGACTTGGTTCTGATTATCTGTTACAGACTCGGTTCTGATTATCTGTTACAGACTTGGTTCTGATTATCTGTTACAGACTCGGTTCTGATTATCTGTTACAGACTTGGTTCTGATTATCTGTTACAGACTCGGTTCTGATTATCTGTTACAGACTTGGTTCTGATAGGATCTCCGTTACCAGACTTGGTTCTGATTATCTGTTACAGACTCGGTTCTGATTATCTGTTACAGACTTGGTTCTGATAGGATCTCCGTTACCAGACTTGGTTCTGATTATCTGTTACAGACTCGGTTCTGATTATCTGTTACAGACTTGGTTCTGATTATCTGTTACAGACTCGGTTCTGATTATCTGTTACAGACTCGGTTCTGATTATCTGTTACAGACTCGGTTCTGATAGGATCTCCGTTACCAGACTTGGTTCTGATAGGTTCTCCGTTACAGACTCGGTTCTGATTATCTGTTACAGACTCGGTTCTGATAGGTTCTCCGTTACAGACTCGGTTCTGATTATCTGTTACAGACTCGGTTCTGATAGGATCTCCGTTACCAGACTTGGTTCTGATAGGTTCTCCGTTACAGACTCGGTTCTGATTATCTGTTACAGACTCGGTTCTGATAGGTTCTCCGTTACAGACTCGGTTCTGATTATCTGTTACAGACTCGGTTCTGATAGATTATCTGTTACAGACTTGGTTCTGATAGATTATCTGTTACAGACTCGGTTCTGATAGATTATCTGTTACAGACTCGGTTCTGATAGATTATCTGTTACAGACTTGGTTCTGATAGGTTCTCTGTTACAGACTCGGTTCTGATAGATTATCTGTTACAGACTCGGTTCTGATAGATTATCTGTTACAGACTCGGTTCTGATAGGTTCTCTGTTACAGACTCGGTTCTGATAGATTATCTGTTACAGACTTGGTTCTGATAGATTATCTGTTACAGACTCGGTTCTGATAGATTATCTGTTACAGACTTGGTTCTGATAGGTTCTCTGTTACAGACTCGGTTCTGATAGATTATCTGTTACAGACTCGGTTCTGATAGATTATCTGTTACAGACTTGGTTCTGATAGATTATCTGTTACAGACTCGGTTCTGATAGATTATCTGTTACAGACTCGGTTCTGATAGATTATCTGTTACAGACTCGGTTCTGATAGGTTCTCTGTTACAGACTCGGTTCTGATTATCTGTTACAGACTCGGTTCTGATAGGATCTCCGTTACCAGACTTGGTTCTGATAGGTTCTCTGTTACAGACTTGGTTCTGATAGATTATCTGTTACAGACTCGGTTCTGATAGATTATCTGTTACAGACTTGGTTCTGATAGATTATCTGTTACAGACTCGGTTCTGATAGATTATCTGTTACAGACTTGGTTCTGATAGGTTCTCTGTTACAGACTCGGTTCTGATAGATTATCTGTTACAGACTCGGTTCTGATAGATTATCTGTTACAGACTTGGTTCTGATAGATTATCTGTTACAGACTCGGTTCTGATAGATTATCTGTTACAGACTTGGTTCTGATAGATTATCTGTTACAGACTCGGTTCTGATAGATTATCTGTTACAGACTTGGTTCTGATAGGTTCTCTGTTACAGACTCGGTTCTGATAGATTATCTGTTACAGACTCGGTTCTGATAGGTTCTCTGTTACAGACTCGGTTCTGATAGGTTCTCTGTTACAGACTCGGTTCTGATAGATTATCTGTTACAGACTCGGTTCTGATAGATTATCTGTTACAGACTCGGTTCTGATAGATTATCTGTTACAGACTCGGTTCTGATAGGTTCTCTGTTACAGACTCGGTTCTGATAGATTATCTGTTACAGACTCGGTTCTGATAGGTTCTCTGTTACAGACTCGGTTCTGATAGGTTCTCTGTTACAGACTCGGTTCTGATAGATTATCTGTTACAGACTCGGTTCTGATAGATTATCTGTTACAGACTTGGTTCTGATAGATTATCTGTTACAGACTCGGTTCTGATAGATTATCTGTTACAGACTCGGTTCTGATAGATTATCTGTTACAGACTCGGTTCTGATAGGTTCTCCGTGGTTTGATCACATGGTAAAAACCATGAGGTCACCATGCTGGTGAACTACTCTCACCTGTAAGGTGAGGTCACATGATGTCCATTCAGGTTCTGAGGGGAGGGCTTGGTGACGGCGTGTGCCTGGCTCGTGATTGGTTGGCAGTAATGGCGCTTACACATTAGGGTCAGTTTGGTCTCATGGGGCAGTGTTCACGTGTATTTCTGAAGGACTTCTCAGGAATGTGGAAATCCCGAGCTCGTGGGCGGCGTTTAAGTCCTCACACACACACACACTCTCGCTGCTCGCTCCTCATTGAGCAGCTGTGGCGAGAGCAGGTGGTGCACAGGACTCACTGCGCGGCAGCTCCGTGCTACAGGGATGTTTGCTCCTCAGCATCCAGGATGAAAACGAATCCCCGCTGGCCAACTACTCACCAGTCCGTGCTGTCCCGGTAGATGCTAGGACACGGCGATAACCATAAATGTCCCGATGTGTTCACTGGCATTAAAGCGTCTAAACCCGGCTAAACGACTCCAAACGTAGGACAGAGTTTAAAAACAGGATGTCATTTCAGAACCTTTATTTTGAAAAGTTCAGTGGAACAAAGCAAAAAGAGATTAAGAGAATCAAAGTGGTTAACAAAATAAAAGCCTTCAACAACACAAAGATTCACACAACCTCCCACGGGAGCAGAACGATCCTGTTAATAATTCCGTTCTCCGTTTCGGGACCTTCACGGATCCAAACACCTTAAAAAGACCACATTGTTTGCAGGAAGCTGCTGGATCCGGGCCTGTCAACGTCCTCGAGCCAGAACATGTTCCTCAACCTGCTCTTCAAGTCCATGAAGGTGGACGTCCTGCCCAGACGGGTCAAAGCCTTCAGCAAGCGCCTGCTGCAGGTCAGCGCCCAGCAGAGCCCCGCCTTCGCCTGCGGAGCGCTCTTCCTGTTGTCAGAACTCATCAGGGCCAAACCGGGCCTCAGGGATCTTCTGCAGGAAGGAGGGGTGAGAAACCAGAACCTGAGTGCTCGGGTCCAGGACCTGCGCCGGTCAGCTGGACACGCTAATGTTCATAAATGCTGAGATGGTTCTGATTCTGCTGGGTTCTGACAGGAACGAGAGGATGAGGAGGAGGAGTTTAAAGACCTGAAGGAGGAAGAGGAGGAGGAGAACGAGGAGGAGGGAGGAGCCAGGATCAAACCCGCGGCATCATGGGTACACCACCAGAACATGGAAGGTGTGGGGTGGTTCTGATCATTCTGGCTCGGTACTAGTTCCAGTTCTGATGTTCTGACCCGTGTTTCAGGAGGAAGGACTTCTCAGAACTACGACCCGCTTCACAGAAACCCGCTGTTCTGCGGCGCCGACCACTCCTCCTTTTGGGAGCTGCACCAGGTAAGAACCAGTCCAGAACTGGATCAGGATCCGACCAGAACCAGGGGCTGACCAGAACCTGTTTCTCCACAGTTCTCTCTTCACTTCCACCCATCGGTGGCGCTGTTTGCCAGAACTATCCTTCAGGTAACAGAGCCGGGCCTGAGCAGATCCTCCTGATGGTTCTGTTGGACCTGAGACAGTTACGTGTTTCCACAGGCAGAACCGATCCAGTACACCGGAGACCCGCTGCAGGACTTCACCCTCATCCGGTTCCTGGACCGCTTCGTCTTCAGGAACCCCAAACAGCAGAAGGGGAAACGTAAGGAAGTTCTGGAGGTTCTGGGACCAGGCCCGGCTCACCCACCTGACGGTTCCGCTCTTTTGTTCTTTCAGAAAACTCCGACTCTGCTGTTCTCCGACCCAAACTCAGGTTCTTGCCCGGTTCTGTACCAGGTGAGTTCTAAAACAAGGTCTTGTTTCTGATGCTGAGTCTCTTCTCATGTGTCTACCTGTCCCCGCCCACCTGTCCCCTTGTCTCCGCCCACCTGTCCCCGCCCACCTGTCCCCTTGTCTCCACCCACCTGTCCCCGCCCACCTGTCCCCACCAGTGAACTGTGCTGACTTCCTGTCCAAAGAGGAGAGTCAGGTTCCCGTGGACCAGGTCTTCTTCCACCGGTAGGTTCTGGACCTCATGCCGGGCCCCTGGTTCTGGTTCTGGTGAGTCTGAGTCTGTTTCTCTTTCTCTGCAGCTTCTTCAAAAAGCGTCAGCAGGACAAACAGAACCAGCGTCCAGAGAGAGGGGGGGACGACGAGAGCGTGGAGGACGTGGACGACGAGGAGTTTGAGAACCTTCTGGGTACGTTCTGGTAGAGGCGGTCTGGAAAGCCCATTAGAAAGCAGACGTGGGTTCTGACAGGACTCTCTGGTTCTGACCCAAACAGATTCCTTGGAGGGAGACTCGTACTTCACTGATGTGGAAAAGGAGGACTTGGACTTTGCAGCGTGAGTTCCCCAGAACCAGAACCGGGTCCAAACCCGGCTCAGTGCAGCCTTTGAAGCCCTCAGACCCAGATGATTAACAGCCAGCAGGTCCACGGGGTGGTCCGGTCCGGTCTGGTAGCTTCCAGCTCAGGCAGGGCGTGGGTTAGAGTCCCCAGGGCCGAAACCACCAGGTGGTTCCTGAAGGGTTCTGGTTCGTCTTCATCACTCTTCACTACTCTTCCTCTCTCAGGAATGTGAAAAGCAAAAGAACCCAGAAGAACCCAGACTCTGATTCGGACCTGAGCGACCTGGATGATGAGGAGGTGTCTCTGGGCAGCATGGACGAGGAAGACTTTGGAGATGTCCTGGAGGAGGAGGAAGGAGGGACTTTCATGGATCCCAGTGGAGATGAAGAGGATGAAGGTAAGAAAATGAAGGACTTTAGGTTCTGACCCGATTCACATTAGTGGGTTTCCTCAGGTTCTGCTTCCTGTTTCAGCTCCAGAGCTGGAGGAGAAGGAGGAGGAGGAGGAGGGTTCGTACCAACTCATCTTCATCACTTAGTCAATCTCAAACGTTCCAAGTTTTCCTTTTTCCGTTTCAGATGAAGATCTGGATCCACCGGTCAGGAAGAGGAGGCCCAACGATCTAAGCTTCTGTCCAGCTTCAGGTCTGGAACATCTCAGCTTTGTGGTTCTGTTGGGCTTCAGCTAACTTCATCAGGTTCTGCTTTCAGGTTCTGCAACAAGAACCAAGAAACCAAAACAAGAAGCTTCCATGTTTGCTTCCGCTGAGGAGGTAAGTGTGGAGTTGGTTCTGATTCTGTTGGACTCAAAGTTCTGCTCTTCACACCAGAACTAATAATGATTCTTTCTAGTTTGGCTCGCTGCTGGACGAGAACACGGACGCCAAGTTTGACCACATGGGTCTGAATGCCATGGCAACCAAGGACAGGGCAGGTAGGGCACAACCTTTGACCTTTTGACCGTCAGCAGCATGATTATTGACACCCCCCCGCCACTTGACCTTTGACCCTTTGGCAGCCTGACCTTTGACACACACAGCTCTGACATTTGACCCAGTGGCCTTTGGCAGTAGGACCTTTGACCCACACACACCTCTGACCTTTGACCCGTGGACATTGACTGCAAATAGTGAAAAACGTTTAGATTTTTATTTTTTGCACCAGAACATCACAGATGCATGATGGGAACAGGAAGCAGGTGCGACCGGTTCTGTTCTGTGTCCTGCAGGCCTGAAGCAGCTGAAGTGGGAGTCTCAGAGGGACGACTGGATCCACAACCGCGACGCCACGACGCTCCGCCGGAAAAAGAGCAGGGGGAAGCGGCACGGCCAGGGCCAAACAGGAAACAGGAAGTTCCGACACAAGAAGAAGTAACCAGTTCCGACTCAGTCCTGTCTGTCCGACCAGGCCCGCTGGTCCCGTTCTCTCATCCCGTAGACGCCGGCCCACTCGTTGGACTGGTAGAAGGCTGGGAGGAGAACCAGAACATCAGCTGATTAATACATGAGAACATTGTGATCCGAGGTTCTTTCTGTAAATGTAAGACTGTACTCCCCCCCCCCCCCACACACACACACACACGCGCGTTCCTGTTTTGCTAAATAAAGTTACATAAGAGCTTGTAAACACCTCTGGGCGTTAACTCTTCATTCTGATGGAACGACGGCCAGCGTGGGGGAGAGAGCAGCGGTGGAACGCCTGCCAGCCGACGCCGCTGCTGTTGGGCCGACCAATCACAGACGTGTGATGGATAATTAAAAAGTTGGGCTCTACTCCCGTTTGCCCTTGCGTGCCGGTCGGACAGCCGTGGAATCGATGGATAACGGCGCTCCACACCTCTGCAGTAAGCTAGGCTTAAGGACGACCCTGTGGTTCACTCAGAGCCTCCAGCACCAGCAGGAGCTGCTGTGCATGGAGGTGTTTTTCTGGACCACTAGGTCCACCCTGTAGCTGGTTAAAGTACCAACCATCACTAAGGCCTCCTTACCTTCCAGGATGGAGGGGAACTTCCTGTTCATGGTGTTTCTGAAATCTGAGGGAAGACCAACAGAAGGTTTCAGCAGCAGTTCAGACAGCTGGTCTGAATCCAGAGCTGTGATCCAATACCTTGGCTCTGATTCATCTTATGAAAGAGAGTGTATGCCCCAAAGACACCCAGCAGCTCCAGAACCATCACGCCCCGCAGGATCTGCCTGGCCGGAGGCATTTGGGAAGGAAGACTTTTCTTCTGACCAACAGTCCAGATTTCACCATCTGCAAACAAACCAGAAGATATTTCTCAAACAGGAAGCAGGTGAAAGTAAATGTTCAGCAGAGGAGGACGGCTTGTTCAGTGGTGCTCAACAATCTGCACAAGTAAACATCTCCAGAACCCAGTAGACTGCCAGAGACAGAATCACGGTAACGAATGGAAAAAACATTTACTGGTAATTGCTTTTTGTGTCTTCCACTTCCCTGCTCTGAGCCAATCAGGCTTCAGGATTCCTGGCACAATTCTTTTAAATCAAAACCATAAAACCTGTCTGCCACCAGGGGGCGCTGGGAGCCATAAACATCTGTTTGACTTCCTTAAGATGTCTAAAGCTCCGCCTTCCTCGCCTCTGATTGGCTATTTGATTTAGCAGCAAACCCTCCCACCAACAACTTTTCACTAATCACCATTCTACACAGTTTTCATGTTTCTTTTAATAAAGATAAAATGTGAATTTATACTGAATCGTGTTGCGTTTATCGGACTCTTGGCTCTCGGGCACGGAGCTTATCTTATTACAGCAGGGCCGTACCTGGTATGAAGCTGTACAGCAGCGGCCCCAGACTGGACCTCTCCGTCAGAAGCAGCTGGAGACTGAGATGTGCTCCAACTCAAACAGCCCTAACCTGTAAGATAAGTGATTCAATGCAACAAGATTCATTACAAGCTCACGTTTGACGCTTTTCAGGTTCTTCTAGAAAAACAGAAAATAGTTTGTTGTAAAAAAAACATTTTTTGTCCTTGCGTGCCGGTCGGACAGCCGTGGCATCGATGGATAACGGCGCTCCACACCTCTGCAGTGAGCTAGGCTCAAAGACGACCCTGTGGTTCACTCAGAGCTTGCAGCTCCTGTGCATGGAGGTGTTTTTCTGGACCGTAATCGGAAGGTTGCAGGTTCGAGCCCCGCTCAGTCTGTCGCTGTCGTTGTGTCCTTGGGCAAGACACTTAACCCACGTTGCCTGCTGGTGGTGGTAGGAGGGCCCGGTGGCGCCAGTGCTCGGCAGCCTCGCCTCTGTCAGTGCGCCCCAGGGCAGCTGTGGCTGCATCGTAGCTCATCACCACCAGTGTGTGAATGTGTGTGTGAATGGGTGAATGACTGATTGTGTTGTAAAGTGCCTTGGGAGGTTCCAGGACTCTAGAAGGCGCTATATCAAATACTTACCATTTACCACTGGGTCCACCCCGTAGCTGGTTTAAGTAAACAAATGGTTATTATAGCGATGACTTCACAGTTTCTTCAAGAAACTCCTCAAGATCTGTCTGTAAACCTAAAACCTGCAGCGAAGGAGGACGGGTTCCTCTTGCATCAAACAGCCGATCGGTGGTGAGAAAGGCGGGGCCTTCCTTAGACATCCTATGATTCCAAATGCGACCGGCGTGAGCCACACGCTGGTCCTCCCGGGCCACCGTCCAGCATGTTTTATGTGTTTCTCTTCTCCAACACACCTGAGTGTGGGGCTTCATTTATCCAAACGTTCCTATATTCCTTCCTACAAATGAAATGTAGGATGTGTGTACTCCTGATTTATGAAACGTGCGATGGCTTCTCGTACGCACGTTCCTCCGTAACCGTCTGATGATAAATCCCACCTACCAGCATGGAGCTGACCACCACCGACCGGAAGAGTACAAGCAAACAGGCTGCTTTGGTTTCTGAGATTTTACAACTCTTTTTGTAGGTCATTCAAAGGTCACCATCCCCAGACAGACCAAACCATCCAGAACAGTCTCCTTTCTTACTGCTTCGTTTGTGCTGATTGGTGCAGGTAAGATTGTTGTTTGCACCAATCAGCACAAACGTACAGAGGAGAGGTTCCTGTAACGGGTTCTCGTTTACATCTAAGGAGTCCTTCTGGTTGGAGTTAGTTTCACTTGGAGATGTTGTCTGAGAGAGCAGCCTCAGCCTCTTCTGAGCTGTCAGTCAGGCTGGTTGCCTTGGGAACGCGGCAGGGAGCAGAGGAGGTTCTGGGGGTTCTCTTGTTGTAAAATAAAATATGAATTGGAATCGGATTCATGAGGTTTGTCTGTTGCTCTTCAAAAGTTCCCAAATCCCAGCACAGCAGAAGGATTTGTTCCTCAGGAGACGCTCTGTTGAATCTTCAATAACACACATTAGTCATGATATCATGTCAGGTTCCCGTCGGTCACGTGTCTTTTACTGGTTTTAGCACCAATAATGCGCAAAGCCGCTTTCACACCGACATAACTACATACTGGGTAAATGTCATTAGTGGATGACTGAGACCTTCAGTACTGCTGTTACCCCGTTCTACCACTAGATGCTGTGCATGGTCACAGCTGTTCTTATATTTAGGAACATGTTCACACACAAGTACAAGTAGGTAAATACCACACAATGCCTAAACTCCTGCCTACGCACACATCTGTGCGTAAGTACGGTGCATAAATGAGGGTCCTGGTCTAGAACCTGGAGCACCAGGACTAGCCACCACTAAAGGAGGGGATGGAGATGTTTTACGGTATTACCTTCATCAGGTGGTCACTGGTGCTGAGTAGAACTGTGACCCGAGGAGGAGGTGCTGCAGCGCTCTGGGGCCCAGTACCCCCCCACACCGCACCTTACGGTCTTCTGTCAAGTGCACTTGGAGGAAGTGCGCAAAGACTTCGAGTGCGTGGTGGTACGCAAGTGTGCAAATAATTGCCGAATTGTGTCAGGGTCAGGGAGCGTTGCGTCATCGATCGCAATGCATGCCGGGATTCTGGTCGACAGACATATACGTAGACGCCCCATAGACTGGCGCTGCCGTAGTGGCCGACCGCCATCTTAGATGGGTCTCATTCGTTTCTACTGAGGAAGGTGCTGCTTACCCAACTAAAAATCACATTTTATCAAGCTCTTTTACAGAATCACACACAAGGTATGGCGTGATAAATAAAATATAAATAAATGAACAAAACAAATAAGAATATATAAAATCCCATCAGGCAGCCCAGAAAGGTCACTAGTAGTCTCACGTGATCTGTTCTCAATAGAACACTGATTGTTGTAACCATAGGCTGCACAAAAATAGGCATTGTTGCTCACTTCACTGACTTTAGACCTTGAGGAGACCCATCCAATATGGTGGTGATGCTGTTACGCAACAATGCCCAATGGGGCATCTACTATTCCTGTTTGTGCTGGTCACTGTGCTACCTTTAAAAAACCTTTATTAACAACTTTCAAACAAAGAACCAAACAATTTCCATCCATTTTCATCCGCTCATCCGGAGTCGGGTCGCGGGGGCAGTAGCCTAAGTCGAGAGGCCCAGACTTCCCTCTCCCCAGCCACTTACTTGGGCCAGCTCCTCCGGAGGATTCCCAAGGCGTTTCCTGGTCAGGTGAGAGACATAGTCCCTCCAGCGTGTCCTGGGTCTTCCTTTAGGCCTCCTCACAGTTGGACGTGCCCAGAAAGCCTCACCAGGGAGCCATCCAGGAGGCATCCTGACCAGATGCCCGAGCCACCTCAACTGGCTTCTCTCAATGTGGAGGAGCAGCGAATCTACTCTGAGCCTCTCCCGGATGACTGAGCTTCTCACCCTATCTCTAAGGGAGAGCCCAGCCACTCTATGGAGAAAACTCATTTCAGCCGCTTGTGAACAAGACCCCGAGATACTTAAACTCCTCCACTTGGGGTAGGACCTCATCCCTGACCGGGAAAAGGCATTCTACCCTTTTCCGACACAGGACCATGGTCTCAGATTTAGAAGAGCTGATTCTAATCCCAGCTGCTTCACACTCAGCAACTAAAAAACCGCATTACTCCTCCTGAATCCGAGGTTCGACAATCTGACGGACCCTCTTCTCAACAACCCCTGAATAGACCTTACCAGGAAGGCTCAGAAGTGTGATCCCCCTGTACAACACACCCTGTGGTCCTGCTTTCTAAATAGGAAACCACCACCCCAGTCTGCCAGTCCAATGGAACTGCCCCTGATGTCCACGTGATACTACAAAGCTGCATCAACCTACACAACCCCACAACATCCAGAGCTTTATGGAACTCTGGACTGATCTCATCCACCCCCACTGAGGAGCTTTTTGGCCACCTCAGTGACCTCAGCACCAGAGACTGGAGAGTCCAACTCAAAGTCCCCATACCCTGCTTCCTCACTGGAAGACATGCCGGTGGGATTGTGAAGGTTTTTGAAGTATTCTGCCCACCAATCCACAACGTCCTGAGTAGAGGTCAGCAGCACACCATCCCCACTGTAAACAGTGTTGGTAATGCACTGCTTTCCCCTCCTGAGACGCCAGATTGTTGACCAGAACCTCTTAGAAGCCATACGGAAGTCTTGCTCCATGGTCTCACCGAACTCCTCCCACACCCGGGTTTTTGCCTCCAAGACCACCCGAGCCACATTCTGCTTGGACTGCTGGTATCCATCAGCTGCCTGTGGAGTCCCACAGGCCAAAAAGACCTGATAGGACTTTTCTTCAGCATCCCTAACCGTCGGTGTCCACCAGCAGGTTCGGGGGTTGCCGCCACGACAGGCATCGACAATCCTGTGGCCGCAGCTCCGGTCAGCCGCCTCAACAACAGAAGCACGCAACAGGCCCAATTCGGTCCCAGTGTTCCCCGCCTCCCTTGGGACGTGTTCGAAGTTCTGTCGGAGGTGGGAATTGAAGCTCCTTCTGACAGGAAACTCCACCAGATGTTCCCAGCAGACCCCAACAATACTTTTGGGCCTGCCTAGTCTGACCGACTTCCTGCACCACCATCAAAGTCAACTGACCACCAGGTAGTGGTCAGTTGATGGCTCCGCCCCTCTCTCCACCCGAGTGTCCAAGACATGCATCCGCAGATTAGATGAGACAACAACAAAGTCGATCGTCGAGCTGCAGCCTAAGGCATCCTGGTGCCAAGAGCACATAGGGACACCTTCGTGTTTGAACATGGTGTTGGTTATGGACAGTCCATGAAGTCCAGTAACAAAACACCGCTCTGACTCAGATCAGGGCCGTTCCTCCCAACCACACCTCTCCAGGTCTCACGTTGGTTTCCCACATTGAAATAAATCAATATTCATTGCTGCTTTGTCTAAAACTTTCAGAGCATCAACTAATCGTCCTACAACAAACTACTTTCATTAGATAATACATATATGACTGTCATCTGGGATGCTATGTTCATCCCGCTATGGTCGTCTCCAGTTGTGTTAGGGTTAGTGTGTTCATTCTATAATGGTTCCACTAATTCACCGATACACTCAACAGCTTCCAGATGTCAGTTTATGTGCTGAAAATGAAGTGTGTGTTTTCTAAAGGCGATGAAGCCGGTGGACTACGACAGATCTGGGTTGGTAAACAATTTTCCTGCTGGTTATTTTAGTCATGTTCAAATGACAACGTTTATCTTTTTCCAAGCTGTTGCATATGTAAGTAAAATGTATGTTACTTATTTTTTCCCCCAACTTTATTTTCATTTATTGACATTAAAATAAAAATACAAAACTAAATTGCTAAAAGCCAAAATGAAAAAGAAGAAAAACGTATGTTATCTGCCCCCTTTAACTAAAATAACATTAATACAAATGAAACAATCATATGATTCTTAAAAAATTTGAACAATGTAGTTCCTGGACTGGTTGTCGACACAACCTCAACCCATGAATTGAAAATAAGAGAGAAAACAAGTTACACAGAAAGAAGCATAAAGTTATATACCTATATACATACATATATACACTTATGCATACATAGACTTGTTCCCTTGTTCCCTTTTTTCTTTTTTTTTCTTTCATCCTCCCCAACCCCCGTCCCCTCACGCGTTTATGTAACAGATCTATATAAGTTAATCATTTCATTTTTTATCTCTTTTTTTGAAAGTCAATATTGTTTTAGCATTCTCAAGAACTATATGTATTTAATTTATTCCACAATTTAACTCCATACATGGACACACAATGTTCCTTTATGAGTATCCGATGCCTAAGTATATTAAATAATTAATGTCCTTTTAAATCATATTTGCTATGTCTTTTTGTAAATCTTTTGATGAAACCTGCAGGTGTGTACCCTTTGTTTGCATTATACATACATTTTAAAATATTGTAGCCCACCAGATCATAGAATTTTAGTGTTTTTAATTTTATAAATAATGGATTGGACAGATTTCTGTAGTTGCTCCTTGTGATTATTCTTATTGCTTTTTTTCTGTAAGATGTAAATGGAATTTGTGTAAGTTTTATATGTTGTTCCCCAGATTTCAATGCAGTAGTTCAGGTGTGGGATCAGTGAGTTATATAACAAACATAGGGAATTATTATCAAGTAACCATTTTGCTCTATGTAACAGCATAGATCTATTTCCCATGAACAGTGATGTTGCAAAGACTATACATCCTAGAAATGGAAAACTGGCAAAGATGGAAAGGAAATTAAGTCAATGCACCATTTAAATGATGGCACTACAAGCTCACTCAATAACAATTTCATCTGCATCCACTTGAATGTAAGGATCTTCCAAGACAAGACTTTGGCAATGACTGCGGCATGTTTGTGTCGATGGTAAGATTGATTTACTCCCATGAACATCTTGGTAAGCAAACAATATGAAAAACTGTAAAAATGTTGTTTTTAAATAGCAGGCTGCCGTTTACGCTAGCTGTGATGCACCATTTGACTGCTCAGCAGTAAGGGTCTGATGGCTAAAGCAGTTATTGTTATTGAATAAACTGTGCACACACACGCGCGCGCGCGCGTACACACACACGCACTCTGGCCGCCGCTCTTCAGCATGCAGTTTAGCGGAGATCCCGCAGGGGGCGACCAGGTGCGGGAGGAGCGTTGAGTCGTGGTAACGGAAAGTAGAAGTAGAAGAGTCTTCCGGTGTCCTTGTGCTGAAGACTCGACCACAGACGGTTCACCGACATGTTCAGACACATGATTGTGAGTTGATTTTGGTTTGTGTTCGACTCTCTCGTGAAGTTGAGTTAGTTTCTAATGAATCAGAGGAATCTAAGCAGCCGCGGGTTCAGCTAATCGCTGCTAGCCGAGGGCAGGCTACTTCCGTCCGGCTCGTGCTAACCCTCAGCCTCCAGGAGATGGTTTTAGACGGCGGTGAAGCTAGTTTGAAGTTAAACGTTGGATATTCCACAGACTTTGGTTCCCACGGTCATCGATAAGTCTTCATGCCGTGTGCTGCGCCACAGACGGCGGTTAGCTGGGTTCCAAAGACTCGCTACTGGGAGCAGTGGTCCGCCTAGGCACCATCAACAAATTTGTAGTCCTTTGTAAACGAGTACAAAAAAAAGTCAAAGCTTCCAGAACAATTTCCTAAATGGCTCCAAATTACATCAGAGTTGTGTTACTAAACTACATTTACAAGACACAGCAGTTTTTATAACATTTCACAAAATCTGATCTTTTTTATTAAAATTTATATCCAAAATGAAGGGACATTTTGTTTCAGTACCTCCTAGGTTCATTTATTTTAATACCCAAAACCATTTCTTAATGGTGCTACTAAGCTAGACCAATGAGACACAGCAGTGTTTAACACCTTTCATACAATTAGATCTTTTTTGTTAGGATTTTATCCTAATAATAAGATCTTGAAAAATGTGAAAACAAACTGCTGTGTCTTTTTTGTCTGGTTAAGTAACACCATTGAGAAATGGTTTTAGGTATTCAGACTTATTTACCTTGGAGCTATTGAAAAAAATCTTGTCTTTTGGATCAAAATTCTAATAAAGATCCGATTGTGTGAAAGGTGTTTAAACTGCGGTGTCTTGTAAATGTAGTTTAGTCAGAAGTCATTTTGAGTCATTCAGGCAATTATTCTGGAAGCTTTAGATTTTTTTTGTACTCGTTTACAAAGGACTACAAATTTGTTGATTGCTCCTAAGCAAACCACCCATTGGTGAGTCCTCAGAACTAAGCTTACCGCCGTCTGTGCTGGTGAGCACGGCATGATGGCTTATCACTGACCGTAGTGAACCAACGTCTGTCGAATATCCAACGTCCAACTTGAAGCTGACTTCAGCGCGGTCTGGTTTAGTTGGTGTTTAACTCGGTCCATTTGGACCTCAGTAGTTCTCTTCCACCCTGTAAGTGGGCCTGTGGGTAAGTGAGGACCTGACTACTTTGCTGCTGTTTCCAGGCCTTCCAGCAGGTGGCGCGGCGCAGCGTCAGCAGCTCCATCCGCCGGCAGATAGAAAATAAAGTTCCAGAGAAACAGAAGCTGTTTCAGGTAAAAGCACCACGGCTCCTCACCCATAGTCTGATCTCAGATCTGCAACAGAAGAGCTTTTGTATGTTGCCTCTTAACAACTTCTAACGTAGCTATACTCACTCTGTGCGGCCCAAAAACAAGGCCACACTGGTTTGTCACTGGATTGCCTTTAGAATCAGAATCAGCGGTACAGTCATTGCACCAGCATCCTGGGACAGAGATTGGACTCAGCAGCACAATCTGACAACATTTGGTTTGACTACGACACATTCTGTTTCCATAAGCTTCTGCTACATCACCAGATCTATCTCCATCCAGTGTTGCATCAATGTGTCACCAAGATCTGGCACTGATGATGGTAGAGTCTGACCGCTGCACAAAGCCTTCTCCAGCACATCCCAAAGATTCTCACTGGGGTTAAGGTCTGGACTCTGTGGTGGCCAATCCATGTGTGAGAATGATGTCTGATGCTCCCTGATTCACTCTTTTCCTGTCTGAGCCTGATGAGTCCTGGCATTGTCATCCTGGAATATGGCCGAAGATGGAATAACCCGGTCATTCAGGATATTCAGGTAGTCAGCTGACCTCATTCTTGGAGCACATCCTGTTGCTGAACCTAGACCTGACCACCTGCAGCAAGCCCAGATCATAGCACTGCCCCCACAGGCTTGTACAGTAGGCACTAGGCATGATGGGTAGGGATGGGTAACTTTGACATTTGAATAAACATTACCAATTCCTGGTACCTATGAATCTATACCGGTACTTAAAGGTTCCAATTTTCGATACTTTTGAGTGTTTAATAATTATTTAAATTGTTTTTTTTAATTAAATATGTATTGTTTTCCCAATATATAACCATATTTGATAAATTTGATGATAAATAACATACATTCGTATTTTATCATTGTAGTGTTGTACAAAATTCTTCAACATGAAAACCTTTAACAACAACAGTTTCTAAATAACAACAAAAACAAACCAGCTCCGTATCCTTGTAGTTTATAAACTGTGTGATGGTGAGTCCTTGTAGTTTTATAAACTATGATGGTGGGTCCTTGTAGTTTTATAAACTGTGTGATGGTGGTCCTTGTAGTTTTAAAAACTGTGTGATGGTGGTCCTTGTAGTCTTAAAAACTGTGATGGTGGTCCTTGTAGTTTTATAAACTGTGTAATGGTGGTCCTTGTAGTCTTAAAAACTGTGATGGTGGGTCCTTGTAGTTTTATAAACTGTGTGATGGTGGTCCTTGTAGTTTTATAAACTGTGATGGTGGTCCTTGTAGTCTTAAAAACTGTGATGGTGGGTCCTTGTAGTTTTATAAACTGTGTGATGGTGGTCCTTGTAGTTTTATAAACTGTGATGGTGGGTCCTTGTAGTTTAAACCTGTGTGATGGTGGGTCCTTGTAGTTTATAAACTGTGTGATGGTGGGTCCTTGTAGTTTTATAAACTATGATGGTGGGTCCTTGTAGTTTATAAACTGTGATGGTGGGTCCTTGTAGTTTTATAAACTGTGTTATGGTGGGTTCTTGTAGTTTATAAACTGTGTTATGGTGAGTCCTTGTAGTTTTATAAACTATGATGGTGGGTCCTTGTAGTTTATAAACTGTGTGATGGTGAGTCCTTGTAGTTTTATAAACTGTGTTATGGTGAGTCCTTGTAGTTTTATAAACTATGATGGTGGGTCCTTGTAGTTTATAAACTGTGTGATGGTGAGTCCTTGTAGTTTTATAAACTGTGTGATGGTGGGTCCTTGTAGTTTTATAAACTATGATGGTGGGTCCTTGTAGTTTATAAACTGTGATGGTGGGTCCTTGTAGTTTTATAAACTGTGTTATGGTGGGTTCTTGTAGTTTATAAACTGTGTTATGGTGAGTCCTTGTAGTTTTATAAACTATGATGGTGGGTCCTTGTAGTTTATAAACTGTGTTATGGTGAGTCCTTGTAGTTTTATAAACTATGATGGTGGGTCCTTGTAGTTTATAAACTGTGTGATGGTGAGTCCTTGTAGTTTTATAAACTATGATGGTGGGTCCTTGTAGTTTATAAACTGTGATGGTGGGTCCTTGTAGTTTTATAAACTGTGTTATGGTGGGTTCTTGTAGTTTATAAACTGTGTTATGGTGGGTCCTTGTAGTTTATAAACTGTGTGATGGTGAGTCCTTGTAGTTTTATAAACTATGATGGTGGGTCCTTGTAGTTTATAAACTGTGTGATGGTGGGTCCTTGTAGTTTTATAAACTGTGTTATGGTGGGTCCTTGTAGTTTTAAAAACGGTGTGATGTGGTCCGTGTAGTTTTATAAACTGTTAATTACACTGAAGCAAACATCTCTGTTGTGAACTACATTTACTGTGCATCTTAATTCCTGTTGCCGTTCTTTTTCAAACTAGATTTTTCCTTGTCGGAAGAGGAACTTCCGAGGGGAAAGTGAATGCAGCATTAGCTATGTAAACAAACAGTAAGCCATCAAGCTAACGTTATCTTAAACAGTTTCTTTAGCAGCTGGAGCAGATTAAGATGCCTCATACTCAGATCGTTGTTGCTGGTTTCATCATCACCCAACAGACCATCGCATTAGTGAAGTGAAGCCAAACTTTAGAGCGTGTTCGCTTTCTTCTGCCTCTTGTCAGTGCGCACCAGGGCAGTTGTGGCTTCATCGTAGCTCATCACCATCAGTGTGTGAATGTGAGTGTGAATGGATGAATGATACACTGTAGTGTAAAGTGCTTTGGAGTCCTTACTCTGAGAGGAGCAATACAAGTGCGGGTCATTTATCATCTATCACATTCTAGTCAGTGCCTTTAAAAAGTACCTAATTAAGTACCCATCCCTACTGGAGGGCCCATCACTTCATCTGCCTCTCTTCTTACCCTGATGCACCACCACTCTGGACCAGGGTCCATCTGGACTCATCAGACCAGTTTTAATAAAGCGTTGGACAGTTCTGAACCCAGTCTTTAGGGTTGGGCATCGAGCATCGATTGGAACTGGTTCCAACTGTTCATTTTTCCCGGAATCGCTCAACGTTTTTTATTTTGATTCCTAGTTTCAATTCCTAGAATGCTGACGGAAGAGGAGTCCGCGGCCGATCTCCGTGAAAAATAAACGGGATCTGCAAATTGTGATCAACGCTTTTCAGAGCTGATCACACCAGCTATCTGTGTGCAGCACCGAGTCCCGTCCCCCCGGATATAAACAAACGTGTCTGCCGAACTTTTACTCCGTAATGTAAACTTTAACTCCTGCAGCATAGAGGAAACTTGTTAAAATACGTCAACACGTTGGATTTAATAGAAGCTTTAAAGAACAAACTCTGGACGGTGTGAGGTGAGTTTGTCTCACTGCAGAAATAAAAACACAAACAGAGCGTCAGCAGGCTTAACAACAACCTGTAGAATAATTAAAGTCATCATGCTAGAGAAGCTTCTCTGTGGTGGACCCCACCAGCTTCTGCCACAATAAATAATTATAATAATAATAAATAACATTTGAATTTCCTTTCTGAACTATTCCTGTTGAGAGTTTTAATGTTTAAAATCTGTTAGATTGTTACTGACAGCAGCTACGTTTAAGTTTCTGTTCTGACTGAATGCTGCTGCAGCATGGAGGTGTAGTTCTCAGTCATCCTGGACATGATCATCCTGAGAGTTTCAGCTGAAAACAGCTGGACGTTTCTGGATATGTTGGAGACATTTAGCCTCTCATCCCAGAGGCTTCTTCCACACTTTGGTTGTGGTCAGAAACAAACACACTGGTTGTGCTGCACGTCTTTTTCTTTTTTTCTCCAAAACATGTTTTTGTCTAAATGAAGGTGATGGTGTTGTTCATAGAATTAAAATTCATGTTGAAGTTAAGATTATTTCATCAAGTAGGACCTGTGGTTAGCTGGCTCGTGTAAAACATGTCATGTCTTCAAAGAATCGGAATCGAGAATCGATAAGAACCGGAATCGAAACAAGGAATCGGAATCGTTCAAAATCAAACGTTGCCCAACCCTAATCTCCTCAGATGTTTTCGCTGCTTGATGCCGATGATCTGACCCTTCTCACACAGACTAACATCTTCTCCATCACCACCAGATGTGTCCTTCCATGCTGACGTCATTAGGGCCATTTTGGGGGTGCTTCAGGCCCTGTAGTATTTTGGGTGGATATTTTCCGATGGATATTTTTTTTTCCAGTTAAAACTTTAGTTATTTTAAAATTTCTGAAAAAATATCTGTTTGTCCTCAAACACCAGTCATCTACAGTCTGGCAGCGTTTCATGAACAGCCGCATTTTGCACAAAAGGTACATCACTGCCACAAGTCACGCCGCACGTCACCACCAGCTCTGACAGAAGAGAGGAAACATAGGGAAGAGTTTTCTGTCACCGGGAGCATTCCTGCAATGAATGACAGCAGCAGCTGACCAACCAGTGGTTAAATGCTCCCAGCTAGATCCATGGAGGAGGAGCGACAAAGAGCTCTTCCGTAGGTCATTCATCCCCTCATCAGTTTAACTGGTACTGGCATTATCCTGGTACACAATAACACCTCTGTGTCCCTTACAGTATGCTGCATAGTTCTGGAATCCAAGTTTTTCATTGTTTAGTTGTGGCTTTTTTTCAGTGGTCAAAGGTTGCAGCACTAGCTTACTGCCTATGTGAATTTAAATGTACCTTTTGTTATTGTTGTTCTTCAGCAACACCAGCCAGGACAGTCATCACTGTGTCCTGAGTGGTAAATGTGGTCTTAGCATCAGCGTCACGTCGTTTTGTTGGAGGGAAACATGTCATCTAAATGTTAGTGCATGTGTCACAATTATGACCAATAAACACAGGAAGCCTGTTGCAGCAGGTCACACATTGATGATGTCACAGTGCGATCAAATGCCAGTAACGAAACTGATGAATTCTGTATAAATACTCTCCAGCAACCTTCGAACCTAACTTGGCTTCATGGTTATTGTTGTCAACAACTTGAAAAACAATCCGACTCTGTAGTCATGTCCAGTTTTCTGTTCATGTTTCAGGAAGACAACGGGATTCCGGTTCACCTGAAAGGAGGCACCGCTGATGCTTTGCTGTACAGGATGACCATGAGTCTCTCTGTCCTAGGTGAGAACATCTTCATGCTTTGACCTCATAACCTGGTTAATGAGCCACGAAGAACCCTAACCCTGCCGACTGTTCCCTGCAGGAGTTGGTTATGTTCTGTACGAGTTGGTGAAGGCGTCTTTTCCTCAGAAGAAGGTCTAACTCATCTCCAGCTGTTTACTTCTATGTTCTCCTGTGGACCAGCTGCTCCAGGCCCAGATCAACCTGAAAGTCCTCTATCATGTTGTGGTTTTGTTTCATGTTCATGGAGTGTTAACTTATTTCTCCAATGAGGATCAATAAACAAAATATACCTCTCATGACCAAAGCAGCTGTTTGTTTGTGCCACTGCAATCAGCTATTCAGAGCCAACGCTAACCCGGGTCTACTGTGAGATGTAGCAGGCTTACATTGGGGTTCTGGTTGGAGCAAGCTACCTTCAGAATCACATCCGCACCTGGAACAGGTTCTGACCCAGATGGACATGGCTGTAGAGTAGGCGGGTAGTTTCTTGTGGGATTTGTTAAAGATGCAGAAACGATGCAGTCCAGTAGAAGGTCACGGTCATTTAAGGTAATAAATGATCACAATATTCTTTAAGAAAGGCTTGAACATGTTGAAGGGATCAAAGGAACAGTGCTAGGCTGGTTTAAATGACCTGTATTTGATATATCGCCTTCTGGAGTCCTAGACCACCACCAGTAGTCAATGGGGGTTAAGTGTCCTGCCCAAGGACACAACAACAGCGAGGGACTAAGTGGGGCTCGAACCTGCACCCATCCAATTATGGGGCGAGCACCGAACTCCTGTGCCAACATCACCCAGGTTTAAATCCTACCTGTCTGACGGATTTAATTTTGTTAATGTACATTATAAATTCTCATACTCCAGGGTTACTTGTGGAGTACCACAGGGTTCAGTGCTTGGACCAATTCTTTTTACCATATATATATATGCTTCTAATTGGTAAAATCACTAGACAGCATGGGATAAACTTCCACTGTTATGCTGACGATACTCAGTTATATCTATCCATTAGTGATGTGTCTGTCGCGAACGAACCGGCTCTTTGAAGTGAACGACGGGAGCCGGCTCGTCATTAGGAGCCGTCTCCCCCCTCTTGCTTTGGTGTTAGCTACAGGCGATTGGTCAACATGTGTAACTGCGTGTCCAGACTGTCCACACACAGCAGTAGGGGCAGGGAAGAGGGAGGATCAGACTCAGACACACAGCAGAGCACATGTGGGTGGAGGGAGGCGAGAGGGAATGAGGAGAAGGAAAAAGGCGTGCAAGAGAGAGGAGAGTGCGACGAAGACACTGAGAAAATCAGCGCCAGCAGTCGGAAAGTGGAGATTTCTTAAAGTGTTCAGTTATTAAATCCATAGAAATGATAAATATTTTACATATAGTTTAGCATTGTTTTGGTTATAAATGTACTCTACGCAACAGAAAATCTGAGGAGCCACTTGGGAGTCGAAAGAGCTGGCTCTTTTTGGTGAGCTGAGCCAAAAGAACTGGATCTCTAAAAAAAGCCGGAATTCCCATCACTACTATCCATTAACCCTGATGAACCTAATCGGTTAGTTACATTACAGGCTTGTCTTGAAGACATAAAAATTTGATGACTGAACTTTCTGCTTTTAAATCAAGACAAGACTGATGTTCTCATCTTTGGACTTGAAATTCAGAAAAGGAAATTGCTTAGTCAATCACCTGACCTGAATGGCATTAAATTAGTCTCTGAGAACAAAGTTAGGAACCTTGGCGTTATCTTTGACCAGGACATGTCATTCAAATCCCACGTTAAACAGGTTTGTAGGATTTCCTTTTTCCACCATCGGAATATTGCTAAGATTAGAAGCATCCTTTCCAGGAGTGATGCTGAAAAACTAGTTCATGCATTTATTACATCAAGACTGGATTACTGTAATTCATTACTCTCAGGAAGTCCACAGAATGTAGTTAAAAGTCTTCAGCTTGTCCAAAATGCTGCAGCTAGAGTTCTGATGAGAATTAAAAAGAGAGATCATATCTCTCCTGTCTTAGCTTCCCTACACTGGCTACCTGTCAAATTCAGAATAGATTTTAAGATCCTCCTTCTCACAAATAAAGCTCTTAATAACCAAGCTCCATCATACATCAGTGATCTGATTGTTCCATACGTTCCTAACCGAGCACTTCGCTCTCAGACTGCAGGTCTACTGGTGGTTCCCAGAATATCTAAAATTAGGATGGGAGGCAGATATTTTAGCTATGAGGCTCCTCTCCTGTGGAACCAGCTCCCAGCTTTAGTCTGTGAGGCAGACACCTTGTCTACTTTTAAGACTAGGCTTAAAACATGTTTATTTGATAGGGCCTATGGTTAAAATCTGATGTTAGCCCAGATCTGGACAAGTGGGGGAGTAGAGGGAGGTGGAGTATACAGTCTGTAAAGACTGCCCTGACTCCAACATGCATCCATCTAAAAGGCTAGGTTACCCAGAGTTATCTCTGTAGTTATGCTGCTATAGGCTTAGACTGCTGGAGGACACACTGATCACTTTCCACACTCGACTACTTTCTTCTGCAACCTGCTCTTTAACTGTATTATTTCCTGCTATTTCAGCTGTTAACTTTATTTTTTCTCTAAGTGTTTTTCTCCCCAGAAGAAGCTACAATGATGTTCTGCTGAGCTGTGGTGGCCTCATGAGGGGGCCATCCGCTAGCACACTGCTGCTAACCACTTAAACATTCTCCCTCTCCTGATAATAACATTTTACTTTCTTTGACATTGAATGTGCTACTACTAGTTTACCCATTTAATTATTGATTCACTAGGATAAATACAATGAAGTTTATCTCTCACCAAATAGAATATTTACAAATCACAATGTAACCATAGAAACACTACTTGGTATATATGTTGTGTGTGTGTGTGTGTGTGTGTGTGTGTGTGTGTGTGTGCGTGCGTGCGTGCGTGCGTGCGTGCGTGCGTGCATGCTCTCCTCTCAATCCCCAGGGAGCTGTGGTGGATGGCTGCTTATACACATCCAGGATCCCCTGGAGGTTTGCTAGACAAGGCTCTCAGTCATCCAGGTCATTGTAATCCAAAAGCGTTCAACTAAAGGCAACTTAACTTTGGTTTCTTGAAAACGTTTCACTTCTTAGCCGAGGAGCTCTGTCCATTCTGTGTGGACTATAGGAGCGTCCAGCAAATAAGTTGTAGCTGTTTGTTGTTTTTTAATGAGCAGAAACGACTGATTCCCCCCTCCTCTCCATCCCCGTGAGTCATGGTGGATGGCTGCTTATACTGAGCCAGGATCCTCTGGAGGTTTCTTCCTGTTAAAAGGGAGTTTTCCTCTCCACTGTCGCTGCATGCTTGCTTAGTATGAGGATTGCTGTAAAGACTCTTGACACTAGTCAGTGACTCGATGCAACCTGCTGGGTTCCTTATATAGGAAACGTTTTACTGACTGGCTTAATGACCTGACCTGTGTTGGAATGTTTACTGTGTGAAGGTCCTTGAGACGACTCTGGTCCTATTTGGCGCTTTATAAATAAACTGAACTGAAAATTTAATTGAGTTTACAACAGCTGAAGTGATTCTGAAGGTGAGACAGGCAACCACACATCAAATGGACTTCTAACTAAAAGGTCTTTATGTCTGAAGACAGCAGATGCTGCTGAAACATTAATAAAAACCTGGATCTGTTGTTTCCCAAATGACCCTGATAAACAAGAATAGCAGTGCTGCTTTTTAAGTTTCTGACCTGAAGCACACAGATTCACACTCAGTGAGCAGCAGTGCTGCCGCGAGCTCTTCTCACATCTGGACCCTTTTAAAAAACAGCTAAAACCCTTTTATTTAAAGCTGCTTTTGCATAAATCTTATGTATTCTTACTTCTTCGTCTTCCTCCGCTTATCCGGGTCCGGGTCGCGGGGGCAGCATCCCAACTAGGGAGCTCCAGGCCGTCCTCTCCCCGGCCTTGTCCACCAGCTCCTCCGGCAGGACCCCAAGGCGTTCCCGGACCAGATTGGAGATGTAACCTCTCCAACGTGTCCTGGGTCGACCCGGGGGCCTTTTGCCGGCAGGACATGCCCGAAACACCTCCCCGGGGAGGCGTCCAGGAGGCATCCTGACCAGATGCCCAAACCACCTCAACTGGCTCCTTTCGATCCGGAGGAGCAGCGGTTCTACTCCGAGTCCCTCCCGAATGTCCGAGCTCCTCACCCTATCTCTAAGGCTGAGCCCGGCCACCCTACGGAGGAAACTCATTTTGGCCGCTTGTATCCGCGATCTCGTTCTTTCGGTCATTACCCAAAGCTCATGACCATAGGTGAGGATTGGGACGTAGATCGACCGGTAAATCGAGAGCCTGGCTTTCTGGCTCAGCTCCCTCTTCCCCACGACAGATCGGCTCAGCGTCCGCATCACTGCAGACGCCGAACCAATCCGCCTGTCGATCTCCTGATCCCTCCTACCCTCACTCGTGAACAAGACCCCGAGATACTTAAACTCCTCCACTTGAGGTAGGACCTCTCCCCCGACCCGGAGGTGGCAAGCCACCCTTTTCCGGTCGAGAACCATGGTCTCAGATTTGGAGGTGCTGATCCTCATCCCAGCCGCTTCACATTCGGCCGCGAACCTACCCAGCAAGAGCTGAAGGTCAGAGCTGGATGAAGCTAGGAGGACCACATCATCCGCAAAAGCAGAGACGAGATTCTCCTGCCACCAAACTCGACACACTCCACACCACGGCTGCGTCTAGAAATTCTGTCCATAAAAGTGATGAACAGAACCGGTGACAAAGGGCAGCCCTGGCGGAGTCCAACCCTCACTGGGAACAGGTCCGACTTACTACCGGCTATGCGGACCAAACTCACGCTCCTCTGGTAAAGGGACTGAATGGCCCTTAACAGAAAGCCACCCACCCCATACTCCTGGAGCGTCCCCCACAGGGTGCCCCTGGGGACACGGTCATAAGCCTTCTCCAAATCCACAAAGCACATGTGGATTGGTTGGGCAAACTCCCATGCCCCCTCCATCACCCTTGCAAGGGTATAGAGCTGGTCCACAGTTCCACGGTCAGGACGAAAACAACATTGCTCCTCCTCTATCTGAGATTCAACTATCGATCGGACCCTCCTCTCCAGTACCTTGGAGTAGACCTTTCCAGGGAGGCTGAGGAGTGTGATCCCCCTATAGTTGGAACACACCCTCAGGTCACCCTTCTTAAAGATGGGGATCACCACCCCGGTCTGCCACTCCCTAGGAACTGCCCCCGATGACCACGCAATGTTGTAGAGACGTGTCAACCATGACAGCCCTACAACATCCAT